CTGTGCATGATGTTGTGCAGAGGCAGGGTGCATTCTCCCTTCAAGACCAGTAGAGGAGGCCAGAAAATCAGACTATTTCAGTCTCAGACATCTAGAGGATTGCCCAGCACTATAAGAAAAAAAAGGTCAACTACTTTCCCCCTCCACCAGCCATTGTTCACTCTCTAATACTTCACACTGATGTTACCTAGAGTCTTAGTCATAGAGTCACTCAGCACAGAAACAGAGCCTTCAATCCAACCAGTCCATGTTGACCATGTTCCCAAATGAAACTAGTCCCATCTGCCAGCGCCTGATCCATATATCTCCAAACATTTCCTCGTCATGTACTTATTTATGTCTTTTAAATGTAACTGTAGTCACATCCACCACTTCCTCTGCAAGTTCATTGCACACACAAACCACTCTGTTACTTTCCTCACAAGGTTCATTCCCTAGAACTCTCACTATTGGTTACATCTTCCATCATTGCTACCAATGACCCCAAACCAGACACCACTAACCCTTCAGAAAAAAGAAGGGTCTAGGCCCGAAATGTCAGCCTTCCTGCTCTTCTGATGCTGCTTGGCCTGCTGTGTTCATCCAGCTCTACACTTCGTTATCTCTAGTATTGAAGTGATGCTGGGTGTATGAGAGTGAGATGAAACTGCGATTAATGGAGATAGCTGGTAGGTGAGTGTGAGAGTTAAGATGCCTTGAGCAGTGTGTGAAGCTAATGATGCAATTGGTGGGAGATGTCACTTTAAGATTCATTTGTTGTATATACACCTTGCCTTTAAGAGACTTCACCTTTAAGAATTTGGTTTGCTGTGTGTGTGTACAAAGTTGGGACTGTTTCATTACTTAGAAGGCATTATAATGTTTCAAATAAACTACATCATAAAAGTGATCTAATCCCTGAAGAATGATTGATTATTAGTCTATGATCATTAGCATGACATCATTCACTGACTGAGTTCATTGAACTCCCTGCGGTTCTGGACCAGGCCATTGAGGGTGATTCTAGTCCAGAATCTAAAGCCCTAGCACTGTGACTATGACTCCTGGCATGAACACGATGACCTCTGCTTCTAACCCTGACAGTAGCCACCTGGTTCCTTGTCAGTTGCCTGTCCTCCCATTCACCTCCTGAAATAAAGTCTTCACACTTTCTGCACCCATTTTGAGGGCCTGTTCAGTTTTGAGCCCCTGTCTTTAACCCCGAGGATGCTTAGACCCTTTTTTCCTGCAGGCCCACTTCAGCAAAAGGAAAAGAACTTTGTGATGCACAGTTGGACATTCATTCCATCTATGAGTTCCTGAAGCCAAGCTCCTGTCCAATGTACGTTTATCTACCCTGTCCCTCGAGGATTGGTGGAATTAGAACATGATTAAGGAACAATAATAACTGGAAGCTGCAACTCTGGACTTGACAAACACCATCTGAGAGAAACCTTTTTAAAGTACGGCAGGTGACAACAATTTTGGAATTACAGAACCTGCAACCTCAGAGATTGTGTCATTCATGTCCACAGAAGAACAAACTCATGTTCTGCTTTCAGTCGTGACTCAGTGGTAACGCCCCAGCTCTAAGTAGGATGGCACATCATCTAGGCTGTCACTCCAGAACTGAAATGAGAGAAGTGCTGGACTGTTGGGGGTGTTATCTTTACGATAAGATGCTGAACCAGGTGTCTTGCCCACTCACGTAAATCCTATGGAAGGATTTTGAAGAGGAGTAAGGGAATTCTCCGTTGATTTCTGGTCAGTACTAGCCCTCAACAAAAATCAACAAAGAATTGCCACGGTTGGAGGGTTTGAGCTATAGGGAGATGCTGAATAGGCTGGGGCTATTTTCCCTGGAGCATCGGAGGCTGAGGGGTGATGTTATAGAAGTTTATAAAATCATGAGGAGCATGGATAGGGCAAATAGTCAAGGTTTTTTCCCCAGGGTAGGGGAGTCCAAAACTAGAGGGCATAGGTTTAGGGTGAGGGGGGGGAAAGATTTAAAAGGGACCTAAGGGGCAACTTTTTCACACAAAGGTTGGTGCGTGTATGGAATGAGCTGCCAGAGGAAGTGACAGGGTCTGATACAATTATAACATTAAAAGGCATCTGGATGGGTACATAAATAGGTAGGATTGAGAGGGACATGGGCCAGATGCTGGAAAATGGGACTAGATTAATTTAGAATATCTGGTCAGCATGGACCAACTGGACCAAAGGGTCTGCTTCCGTGCTGTACAGTTCTATGACACTTAAAAACACATTGTTTGATCATTATTACATTGCTTGTTTGTGGGCATTTGTTGTGATCAAATTGGCTACCATGTTTATTTTATTTTAACAGTGACTACAATTCAAGAAGAATTTCGTTGGTTAGAAAGTACTTCAAAACATCCCGAGGTTGTTCTGGTCATTTCTAACTCAATTTTTTATTTTGCTCATCTTCTAACCTTGGAGTCAATGATGTAGGCCGCTGCCTCTCAGACATTTGGTAGCTGTCACTAGACCAGCCAAATGACTGATGAGTTGGGGGCAGAGATCCAGGATTCAGCACAATGCAGTTCACCTATACAGCACTGCCCTTTCTCACCACAGTAATTTAAGCTAAGCATTGGAACTTGCCCTCGGAACATGTTGCCAGTGGCATACAGCAAACAAAACCTGGAAGTCCTGGTACAAACTCCAAAAGTACAGCCAACAGTGGTCCACTTTAACCAGCCGTCACACCCGTTTGCAACACAGGACTGGCTAACCATGTCTTGGCATACTAAAGCAGAAATACTCCGGCATGTTTAGGCAAATATGAGGAGAGAGTAGATTGTGTTTCTTTTTCCCTAGCTAAAGAGATTTCTATATCATGATAACATCCGAAGGCTTTCAGCAGGGGCATTAATAAATCTGTATTTCTGTGAAGTTCAAAATATTTTTCCGAATTATATTTATTCAAGATGTACAGTACCCAACTGAGACTAACCATACTATATAATTATTGACAATTAGTCAAAGCTTCAAAGAAGGCTGATTGATGTTGAATTGCTGATCAATGGCACTATTTGCACAATGCCTTTCATTCTTATTGCTGAGGAATGCATTGCAGCTTTTGTGGTCCTAGGAAAGGTTTTCTTTGAAGTAAGGTGTGGGACTAAGCCAGTGAGAAACACACAGTGCTTTCAATTAGCTCTTGTGGACCACAACTTGGAGCTGTGTTGAAGCTGTATCGAACTGTCCTCACCTCTTATTAGGCCTCATGTCACTGGCATTCGGCATGTGGGCCCTGTTGACAGGCTTCTGGAAGTAGGCCACAAATCTCAAGCTAGGAAACAGTCAGAGCCAGAGGAAATCTCAAACAAATAAATAAGCTCCACAAATATCTAGCCTGAGGAAGAGGCTATTGCTTTAGCATTACACCCCTGTTACCCAGTTGGAGAGTGATTACATACTAGACATACAAAGCAGAAATTTAATCCCATCAATAAAGTCATAAAATTTAATTCAATACTAAACTTGGTACATAATGGGCTAGTATATGATAAAAGAATTATCATCACAGCTGCTAGCTAATTGTAAAAACTGGTTAACTAAAGCCTTTCAGGAAAAGGAGCCTGATCCAGTTTGGCCTACATTTGACTGGTATTACAATATATAGTACTCCCAATAAACCAGCTACCCCATTATCATACAGTAGCTACATAACAAAAGCATGGGAGAAATATCAGCAACAATCTAAGCATCAGATCAGGGCAAAGCACAGGTAGTCCAGCCTGACTGACCCAGCAAAGTCTTCCTCACTAATAGCTGAGGCATGGTGAAAACTGGGAATCCTAAATAACTGACAACAAGCTCCATAGAGTCTTGTGGCCTCAAGGCAAACAGAAGAAAGGAAACTCCATGCAGATTACAATCCAAAACACCTCTTGTTCAATATATCATTGCTCATCAATGATGAATATTTGAAGGAAGTATTGAAAAAAGTAATATATCATGAAATATGTTCTAGTGAGGTAACGTCAATGGCCTTCATTTCCTCTGTTGTTTCAGCAAGTCAAAACACATGCCTGTGCTGTATCGTCCAGTTTCTCTCATACTTCCTCTTATTCTCTATCTTATAGAGTTATAGAGTTATAAGATATAACTCTTATAGAGTTATACAGACATGGAAACAGACTCTTTGGCCCAACTGGTCCATGCTAACCAGATATCCTAAATTAATCTAGTCCCATTTGCCAGCATTTGGCCGATGCCCCTCTAAGCCCTTCCTATTCATATACCCATCCAGATGCCTTTTAAATGTTGTAATTGTACCAGCCTCCACCACTTCCTCTGGCAGCTCATTCCATACACGCACCACCCTCTGTATGAAAAAAATGCCCTTAGGTCCCTTTTAAATCTTTCCCCTCTCACCTTAAACCTATTCCCTCTGGTTTTGGACTCCCCTACTCTCGGGAAAAAGTCTAATCTATTCACCCTATCCATGCCCCTCATGATTTTATAAATTTCCATAAAGTTACTCCTCGTCCTCCAACACTCCAGGGAATATAGCTCCAGCCTGTACATCCTCTCCTCATAGCTCAAGCCCTCCAACACCAGCAACATCCTTGTAAATCTTTTCTGAACCCTTTCAAGTTTACCAACATCACTCCTATAGCAGGGAGACCAGAACTGAACACAGTATTTCAAAAGTGGCCTACTAACCAATGTCTTGTACAGCCGCGACATGACCTCCCAACTCCTACACTCAATGTACTGACCAATAAAAGCAAGCATACCAAATGCCTCCTTCTGCCTGAGTTTGTCTTTGGTGAGACCAACCTTCTGATCCCTTGATTCTGTTTCTAATAAATTGATAACTTCACAATTTCCCTTTCTGTTGCAACCCTAGTTGACGTTGTATACCATGATTTCAGGTACTACTCCACCATACAGGCAATAAGGTGTTTCTGCAGCTACAATCAGGATGGTTGTTGCCTCCCCGATTTTAGGGTCAGGACATTACTGAGCATTGGAGAACAGTCTGACAGGGGAGGATGAACAGTCACTAGTCCATATTTGTATCGATGAGATAGGTGGGGAGAGGCATGCAGTCCTGCAAGCAGAGTTTAGGGAGCTGGAGGGAACCTAGTTATCAGAACCTCAAAGGTAGTAATTTCTGGATTCTCCTGTTGCCACATTCAATTGAATATAGGAATAAGAGAACAAAGTGATAAATTTATAGCTGGAGAGATGATGCAAGCTTTAGAAGTCAGGACAACTTTAGGGGGCTATGGGGCATGTACAAGCCATACCAGTTGTACATCGACAGAGCTGGAATCATTGTCCTTACATGACAATTTGCTACTGCTATTGGGAGGGTTGAAACTAACCTAACAGGGAAATGGGAACCAGGATGTAACCCTAGAAAGGATAAGCAAAGTGCATCAAAGATTGAGAGAGGCATTCTAGTACAGGTGAGGTCAAACTCAAAGGGAACGTAATAAGGTCTAAACTAGGTTTACTGCACATGTATGTAGATACACTGAGTATGGTAAATAAGCTTGGTGAGCTACTTAATCAGATGATAATATGGGAGTATGTTGTGGTAATAATGGAAACCCTGCTCGAGAAATGACTAGCTATATATGTTTTCTCAGCCCACTATTCCTATGCCAGCCATCAAGCAACTGTCCATTCCCACGTTTCAGCATTTGACCCAAAGCCTTGATGCCATGGAGCTTCAAGTGATCACCTAAGTACTTCTTAAATGTTGTAATGATTCACACCTCTATCACCTCTTCAGGCAGTGAGTTCCAGACATCCAGCATCCTTAAGTGAAAAAGACATTGATAAATCTCTGCTAAAATATCTGCCCTTTTTACCTTAACTCTATGCCCCAGTCATTGATGCCTCTAGTAAGAGGAAATGTTCCTTCCTATCTGCCCCATCCATGCCCCTTTTAATTTTGTGCACCTCAACCAGGTATCCTCCTCTCAGCTTTCTCTGCTCTAAGGAAAATAACCCTAGTCTATCTAGTCTCTGTTCACAGCTGAAATACTCAATCCCAGGCTACATCCTGGTGAATTCAGTGCAGTCATGTCTTTTCTATAGTGTGGTGACCAGAACTCCACATAGTGCTCCAGCTATAGCCTGACCAACATCATATACATCTCCATCATAACCTCCCTACTCTTGTATTCAATGTCTTGACTAATAAAAAACAAATATCCGCTTTGCCAAAATACATCACCTTAGATATATCACCTCATACTTTGCAGGATTAAATTCAATTTGACATTGCTTTGCACATCTGACCAGCCTGTCTTTATCATCCTGTAGTCCATGGCTTTTCTCCTCGCTATTCATCAACCAACAATTTTCATGTGATCTGAGAATTTACTGATCAAACCCTCAACATTCATGCCTCGTTAATAATGTACATTGCAAACAGCAAGGGACCCAGCAGTAAACTCTGCAGAATGCCATTGGATACAGGTTTCCAATCCCAAAACAATCTTTGACCATTACACTCTGCCTCCTGCCACAAAGCCACTTTTGGTTCCAATTTGCCAGAGTGCATTAGATACCATGGGCTCTTACCTTCTTGACCAGTCTCCCATGAGAGAACTTGTCAAAAGCCTTACTGCTGTAGACTAAATCAATCACAGTACCTTCAACCATGCATCTAGTTACCCCTCCAAAAAACTCAATCAAACCTGCCAGACATAATCTAACAAAGCCACATTTACTGTCCTTAAATAATCCTTGCTTCTCCAAGTGGAAATTACTTCTGTTACTCAGAAAATTTTTCCAATAGTTACCCTAATGTTGATTTTAGACACACGGCCTGTAGTGCCCTGCTATATCCTTACCACCCTTGCTGATTAATTGTACTCTGTTTATAGAAGGAAGAGAAAAAGCAAAAAAGGGAAGGGGTTGCAACTAAAAGTAACAGGTGAATCGAAGATATGAATATTAACTCACATGACTTTTTTTATCTGTGCCCATCGAAACTAAGAGCAGGAGTAGGCCATATGGCCCTTCAAGCCTGCTCTGCCATTCAACATGATCATGGCTGATCATCCAGCTCAGTATCCTGTTGTTATGTTCACCCCACATCCTTTAATTTCTTTAGCCCTGAGAAATATATCTATCTCCTTCTTGAGAAAAATTGAATTTTGGCCTCAACCATTTTCTGTGGCAAAGAATTCCACAGCTCATCTCTGATTCCATCCTCCTCCATGCCATTGTCTTAGACTGTACCGGATTGTTCACAATCTTATTTGACAACAAGCTGAGCATCTAACATCAAATACTTCCTCTCACAAATGTTGTCTTCTTTAAACCCAAGCTCAGTCTACATGCTGCTAAATCTTTTATCCATACGTTCAATCACATTCAAATTTCATGTTTCCAAAGTTCTCCATTCTGGGCTCCCATTATCCATCCTCCACAAAATTCAGTTCAACATAAACTCTCTCTCCTATCGTGCACTAAGTCCCATTCACCAATCATTGCTATTCTTCATAACCTACATCAGCACCAAATTCCTCTCCCAAGCCTCCTATTTACAATTCATCCTGATATTTAAATCATCTGATGGGGACTTGTCTCTCCTATCTGTGCAATATCTTTCATTTCTACCCAAAAATCTTTGTTCTCAATGTAGACCTTTCTTCATCTCCCCTCCCTTTGACATGCTATTGTGGCTATCTAGCTTGGAATATTTTCTTTCCAGTTCTCTCTCTCTTCTCCTATGAGGCTCTTTTTAAATCAATCTGTTGTACAAAATTTTTGGTCACCCCTCCTAATGGCTCTTTTGCTCAGCTCATTTATTTATCTGATTACAATCTCCAAACTACCTTGGAGTGTTTGTTGTGTTCTCTCACTGGGGTAGTGTATTCAAAATCAAACCCCTATTCCTAGTATCGTCACAAAAGTAAAAAGGTTTGTATAAATATGCAAAATCCTCCAATTTACCCATCTACCCAGGCTGACAGAAAACCAGATTTTTGCTCTTAACAAAAATTAATATTTATTACAAATAGATTCTAACCATAGCTAGGTGGCACGGTGGCTCATTGTTTAGTACTGCAGCCTCACAGCGCTAGTAGCCTGAGCAAAACTGGAATCAATCAGTATTGGGGGCAAACTCTCCG